CACACACACACACACACACACACACACACACACACACACACACACACACACGTCCATTTACAATTCTTGTCTCCTTGGGAACTATTACTGGAATAGGTTTCTGAAGTCTGTGGATAATCTGTTTGGAACTTTCTAGACTATGAGTGTGTATGGGAAAATATATAAATTCATTTCACTTCTGGATGTCTATTCTATGTGGAGTAGAGTTGTTTATTAATTTAGCAGTTATTCGTTATTATTTTAAAAAATTATCACTGTGCTACTGGGTAGTGCTGGAGTAAGATGTTAATCCCAGAATCACAGAGGTCCTATACAACAGAAGTTGTCCTCAGTATGCATACCCACTGGGAGTCTCTCGGGTGGCAGAGAAGAGAAGTCAGGGCACTGGAGCAGCTGTGAGACTCCCTTAGCCCAGGTCCTGTTGTCTTCCTCTCACATTCCAAGGGCCTACCTGGCCCCATAGCCATCTTTACTACTGGGAACTGAGGAGTCGAGGGGGGCCGATTGAATGGGTGGTTAGTACCACTTTGAGTTCCAGGTCGCCCTTCTGTTTGTTCACTGAGCAAACATTCTTCCTACCATAGAACACAGTCCATCTCACCGCAGGTCGCTCCAGGCATATTGCAGAGTAAGTATAGTTTCCAGTAAGTATAGTAGAGTAAGTATAGTTTCCAGTAGGCTGTGCATCAGATGGACAGACTGAGTAAAGTGACAAAACCCTCAGCTGTGCCTCCCCCATCCCCACTGAAATTGCAGCTTACATGGTGACACAGGCAAAGATACTTCAGTTAAGCACTCACTTTTGAGGGGTGGGAAGAGGAGATGCTTGGCAGGTACAATTCCAGAGGTTTAAAAAGGTTTCAGGTCTTCCTATTATGGGTGGTTAAGGTCCTTAGTATGCTTGACCCTGCTTTCCAGTGACCTGTTTGTTTCTCTGTTGTTCTCCGTGAGCCTAGTTTCTAGACTCAAAGGAAATCCTTTCCACTTTCTTCTGTGGTCACCGCTGGAGTGAGGTGAGAGGCCTGTGCTCCTTGAGAGCTTCCCAGTGTGAGCGTCCTACCTGGACAAGGTGGAAGCCTGCAGTGTTGATTCCAACTAACTATAAGCATCTCTGGCCTCAGCTTATCTTCTTGAGCACCACAGCTATCTTAGAAACATAGTAAAGCCTTATATATTAGATACCTTTTAGCAGCTTGTGTCCACAAAGCTCATCTCCAGGGTCTTTTTCTTTGCTTATTTGTTTGGAGACATTTTTCACCTTAACTATATACTCTTTGATGTATCATCCCCATACATCTTCTTTCTCAATTTAAACGGCACTACCTTAAAGCTATCGGGTTTCTATGAAGGACCTCATCATTAATTGGATCTCTGCCCTGAGTCATTTTGTCCAATTGAAAGAATTTACAGGTGTCACACCCTTGCTTTATCTTTCCCCTGAAGCATTTTAATCTTCCAAAGATTTTACTTCTCAATCTTTTACTACTAGGGTACAAAATTAATGTGTCTTTTTTAAAAGCATTGTTTGAAAAAAAAACCCTGAATTTATGGGCTGTTTCTCTTTTCTATTTTAGTCCTGTATACAATATGAACAATAGTCCTAAATAAATTTCTTTCTTATAATGCTGAACAACAGCATTCTATTATACCCAACACATTCACTTCCAACATTGTAGAGCCACAAATTCATTAAGGATATAATCTGTGCCCTAGATTACCACTACTTTATTAAACATTTCATCAGAATATAACATAGATAACTATTTTTGCAAAACCACATTGCCTTATTCTTAGGATCTGTTGTTGGTCAGAATGAACTGAGGTACGTAATGGCCTAAACAGGACAGGGAGTTAACAATCCCTCATTTCCTATGCAAAGGGTGTAGAGGACTCTGCACCCAAAGCCACTTAGGATCCAGCTGATGTAAGCCGAACCATTTCCTCTCAGTGCCATGGGGCAACATGCACTCCGTGGTTGCTGTGGCTCTCAAAGAGGGAATGGATAATGATCCAGGTGGATTTTTTTTTCACCGTATTGGCATTTGAACTAAGGTCTTTACATTTTCTGGGGAGGCGGTCTAACACTTGAACCATGCCTCCCAGGTCATTTTTGCTCACAAGTGGCATATACCATTCTGTTCAGATTTTATTGACTAGAACATGCTTCTCCCAACTGTAAGGAAGTTGAAAGGTGCACTGAAATTGAAGGTTTGTGTCGGGTGAAAACACCAGCTCAGTTACATTGGGAGACAAGTTCCAAACACTGTCATTCTCTTCATGACAGATGACGGTGTCTAAGAACTTAGTGCTGGCAGCAGAGGTGCTGAGAAGTGCTTAGAGGCTGGATATATTTTGAAGAGTGACTTCAAAAAGATTTGCTGGTGTCATAGATGAGGCCCAACTATGTTCTCCTTGTACATCCTTATCCCAAACATATGTGGTTCCTTCATGGTTTGTGCTTTGATCCCATTTCTCCATAGAGCTTGGAAAATAGATGCTCATCAGAACCTATTTATTGAACATGGAGCAATTTAGCCACCCAACTTCATAAAACCCACATATGTTAATAGTAATTATTGTGAGGAATTGTTAAACTGTTACCTTGATTATTGCAATAATAATGCGTGAGTGACATGTTCATACTGAAGCCTTCTAAGAACCAAGGTACAATCTGGCCACCAGGTATGGTAAAGCAATTAATGTTTTACCTCTTCATACATTTCTTCAGTTACTTTTGTTCTTATACTTCTGCTTCATCATAGAACAGTTAAAAGAAAATAAGTAGCTAGATTTAAATTCTATATGGTGGCTTATATTTCTTAATCTTACCCTGGAATCCTTTACAATGAACCTATTTTGTAGCACAAAAAGGCGAAAAACATGAATTAAGTTAAACACCTAGTCTAGTAAAAGGCCTACTGTCTTTTATTATAATATCATTCTGCTTCTTCTAGGCCCTGGCTATCTCAGGAAGATTCACTTAAGGTTATTTCTTTTAGTAACTATCAGGTTATTTATTTTTAAATACTTGGTTATTTTGAGGATCAATTAAAGTAGGAAAAATACCTTTCTTAAATGACACTGTGGTGATGAAGTCAAACAGTTAAAACTCTTGAAAACAGTCACTCGTGTCACATGACCAAAAGCAAGTTTTAGGAGTGTGCAGAGAGCTGAGACAGAGGAGTGTGCATTGAAGAAGGAGGGCCTGCCCGTGGGTGTCACTGGGAGGGCCTGCCCATGGGTGTCACTGCGAGGGCCTGCCCGTGGGTGTCACTGCTGAGGGCCTGCCCATGGATTGCCTGTAGTGGCTGAGGAAACAGGTCAATCTGGGTTGATGCCACCTGCTTTCAAGCATGACTAGAACTTGGCCTTGGCAGGAAGAAGGAAGCAAGAGTCAGGCACATAAGGACACTTGGGAGCAATGACATGTCTTTGGGGCTAGATCCAGTGTTGGTTACAATTATACTATGAGACAGGATTATATTGGAACCAGCTTGTGAAAATCCTTGTCCCATGCTTAGGAATCTGAAAAGCTTATTTAAAAGAGGGACACTCTAAAAGGGAACTATGGCAAATTCATTAGAAAGATAAGGGAATAATTAATTGGTGGCAGGAGGATGGCCTGTGAGTTTATCAGTTGATCAAATGAAAATTTGACTTCCTTGCATAGGCAAGACACTATATTGTTTCACATACTATCTAATTTAATTTCTTAAAATGATATTATACAATTAGTTGCATTTTTTACATATTTTCCTAATGAAGAAACTAAGGCTTGAGGTACTTTGTCAAGTTGCCAGGTAACTGACTAGGTAGTTAATATCAGTTTCCTGGGTTTACTTTTCTTCCAGTGTTGTTTATTCCAGTCTACTTCATTCTAGGGTTGATTGGCAATGGCTAATTAAACCTTGGGCAACAAGATCACATCTGTACCTATCTGAATGCATTGAGATCCTTAGTTTTTCCTGTACCTTATTTCCTTCTTGGCCTTGTGACCACCTGCCTTTCCTGTCCTCTTCCTGGTTTATTGGTGAAACGCTTTTACATCATATAGTAGGCGAGGAGGAATATTTGGCAAATTGGTATATCCAAATAGTTCCCTGAATTTCTGTTCCTTAAGAAAACAAATATAAATGTTCAGAAAGAAGAGATTCATTATACTGTGTTAATTCTTACTCAGCCTTGCTTTGGTTCAAGCATCAAGCACTTTTCATGCGCTCTGTTAGACTCAGAGGATGCAGAGACGGCTGGGGAAGCTGCAGAGTGTGCAGTTACAGTTAACCGTGAGATTGCAGGTTTCTTGTTTGGGTTTTGTTTTGAGATGACGTCTTTGTCGTCCAGGTTGGCCTCCAACTGACTAAATTGTCCAAACTGTTCTCACACTTGAAATCCTCCTACTTGAGCACACTGAGTGCTGGGATTACAATGTGTGCCCTCAGCCAGCCAGAAGCTTAGTTTCTTTTCTTTTTTTTTTTTTTTCATTGTGAGAATACTGTACAGAGGAGTTACAATTACATGGACAAGATAACGAGTACATTTCTTATCAAGCATGTTGCCTCCTTTTTGTTTCCCCTTCACATCCCTTCCCATACTCCCCCCCTCCGCCCCACCCCCTGCCAGAAGCTTAGTTTCCTTTGGGTTGTAATAAATGGTCAAAACTAGAAGTCCTGGTTTTTAAAGGACTCATTTTTGTATGAATCAGCAATTAGTGTAATACTTTTATCCATCCCAACATTGCCTATTTTGCTTATTAGTTTTAAAAATCAGTTTCTAGGTTAATAGTACGAATGATATTTCACTGCTGCTGTTTTCACAGAAGCAAAACTAGTGAGAGTTTTATTTCTTGATTAAATTGTGTGTTAAAGGCTTGCTTTCATCCTCTGCTGTACTGCTGGATTATCTTTGCCTTTTGTTTTAAAGCTGACTGTGGAAGCACGTGAAGAAATGACTAGAAAGGCCATCAAGACAGTCAAACATTTTATTGAGAAGCCAAGGAAAAGAAATTCCGAAGAAGACATTCCAGAAGCCGGTGATTCTAAAGTGACCTATGCAGATACTTTGCATCATCTGGAGAAATCACTTGCCCACCTGGAAACACTCAGCCACAGCTTCATTGTTTCTCTGAAGAGTAGTGAGCAGGTAATAAAACTCATTGTCAGGATATTCTTTCATTTCATCTTCTTTTTAAGTGAGGTACTGGGTAGGGGCAGGTCCTTTACCACTGAGCCATGCCTCTAGCCCTATTATGCAGTAGTTATTTTATGTATTAGGGACATGTTTCTGGAACACAATCTCTAAAGACTTCCTCTCTTATGTTGGATGACAGGAATGCACCACCATGCCCAGTGAGATGGAGTCTCACAGAGTTTTCTGCCTGGGCACTCCTGGAACCACGGTCCTCTCACTCCCAGCTCTCAATTCCTAAGTAGCTAGGATTAGAGGCATGAGCCACTGGCAGCTGGCTTATTTCTTCTTTAAGCCTTCATTAGTAGTAGTTTTAATTACCTCTCTGTTGCTATAACAAATAGCATAATAATAAAACTTGACTATAACTAAAAGAATCAACTTAGGAGGAAGAAAGGTTTCTTTTCCTAATAGCTTTCAGGGTTTGAGTTCATGATCGGTTGGCCACTTTGATTTTGGTCTGTGGCAGTACATGATGGCAGGAACTTATGGTGGAGCAAACCGTTCACCTCATGGCAAGCAGAGAAGAAAAGAAGAAGGACTGGAGTCCACTATACCTTCAAGGTCATGTCCCGAATACCTGAAGACCTATCACTGAGATCCCCATTGACAGGTTAACAGCACCACCATGGAAATCACATAGACCTTGGTGAACACTTAAGATCCTAACTATAGCAGTAGTTTTGAGAGGCTTTTCAGATCTGCAGATATTCTTGAAAATGGTCCTTAATCTTTTTTTGGAGGGGGGGTCCGGTTGTGGGGCACTGTCCCTCAGCTCTTCAGCTCAAGGCTAGCACTCTGCCACTTGAGCCACAGCACCACTTCCGGCTTTATTTTTTCTTTTTGGCTTATGTGGTGCTGAGGAATCGAGCCCAGGGCCTCATGCATGCAAGGCAAGTGCTCTACCACTGAGCCACCTTCCCAGCCCTGGTCCTTAATCTTTTAACCTTTAACCTCATCCTTATCCCTTGTTTGATAATTCACTTTTCACTCTCAAAAGGAATTTGGGCCTTGTAACACAGGTGATACAGATAATACCTCGGAAAGAAAGGAGTATGGGGGAGAATGGTGGAGGAATGGACGTGTTCAGTATAGCAGGAGTTGAAGGGACACCGGATAAGAGTCCTGAAGTTCAGACATGCTGAAGACAATGATTCTCAAGCTCTTCTGCTGCTGTGTGTTTTGCATTCCCATCAAATAATAATGAGACCTTATCCCTTAGTTTTCAGAAGAATTCAGAAATAGCTCCAACAGATTTTTAAAAATATAATATATATATATATATATATTCTAAAAATATGTAAGATGCTCACTCCATATCCTGTTCTGATGCTACATGTGTCCGTGAATTCTCTGGTTAGTATACTTGTTCCTAGTTGGTTGCTAGTTTAGATTCTGACTTTGCAAAACACTACCATGTGGCTGCAAAGCCCTTGTCCTTAGAGAAGTATCATGATGCATGTGTGAGAGTGATACAAGGAAACAGAAGCCCTGGGAGACCCTCAGAAAGTTTAGTCTATGTTTCAACAGTCACGCGACTTTAAATATTATTTTTCACGAATGGGAAGTTGAAAAATTACTATGCAAACTATTTTAATAGTAAAATCGGTTTAGATACATGAATAATATTCCATTTGTCCTTTAGTTCTTTGGCAAATTAATCCATAAATGGTCACTAACCTTCTTTTTCATTTTTCATAAATCATGCACACTTATTTACTTATATCCTTGGCTTGTAGATAAAATCCACTTGATTAGAAAGATCACAAGAGGAATTCAGATAAGTGAAGCAAATGGAGCCTTAAGAATGTATATGAGACATATAAATGCAAGCCTTTTATTTAAGAGACAACAGGAATAATTCAGAACTTTGATACCAGTTTCATTTTGTATCACCCAGTATCTTTTAGGCTGTCTAATGATTATCAGTAAATGGTGATGTGAACAATATAGAAGCTTTTGTAGGAAACAAATTGTCTTTACATATTTTGGTTTTATCCTATCCATATTTATAATATCACAATCTATAATTACATAAAACCAGATAAAATTTGAATTCTCAAGTAAAAATAATTTATACTTATTAGTACAAAAATTCTAAATACTTATTTACTTTTTAAATTGTATATTCAGTCAATATTAAATTCCAAAGAATTAGCATTGGTATTCATGGAATAAATACTGTCCTTCAATGTTTAGATTAGTGTATATAGATTCAAGTGTTTCATTAACAATATTCCTATAGGTAATGATTTTAAAGTGCTATATTATTCCTTATCAGTGCCATTTGGTCAAATCATGTTTGGTACTTAATGGGAGACTTTGGGTTCTCATTGAACATCACTTGGCACCTTCCCTAACAAAAGCTGGAAGTAATCTTAAGCCCACATGACCAGTAAACAGCATCCTGGACTCTAAGTGAGAAGCCTGCATGCTCTGGAGCCTGGGTCCCGCTCTTGTGGGGTGAGGATGTAGTGATTGCCTTGCCTGACTCATGCGGATTTTTAAAAAGACTAGAAGGTTTCCAGCAGTGTAGAGAATAATAAAATGAAATCTCATTTTCCCAACTCCCAGTTTCAACAACTACCAAGAAATATCCAATCTTCTTTCATCATGCTCTACCTGCCCTCATCTTGTGGCTGTGGATTACTCTGAAGTCAGTCTCAGTCAGCCATTCGTTTAGCCCATAAGCACTTCATATCTATCTCTAATAGATTTTTTTTTATTAAATACACGTCAGTTTTCTGTAGCTGAACTGCAATCAAAGTCTTAAAGTATCTTTAGAGTACAGATTCATGAAAATGTTTGTCATTGGTATTCTGTATAACATATTAATTAGAAGATAACTTCTGATTCAACCCTTTCCTCAAATTACTTTTGAAATCACAACATATCACAAAAATAATATTAGTTATTTAATATAAAAATCTACCTTTGTTAAAAATTTTACATGGTTAATTGGAAGAACAAAACATATTCAGGATTGTTAAGGATACTATAAAAAGACCTGGGATGACATTGTTGATGTTCAATACCTTGTCATTATTACATGCTTTTAGCTCAATAATATAATAGTGAAATTCATATCTATTGATATTGCTTTATACCTGGCATTGTGCTAAAGGATCGACTTTTACATCGTTTCGGTTATGTTCAGAAATCCTTCTGTTCGCAAGAACCTTTTTTCCTTATCATTTTACACGCTTAAATCTGAGATCACAAAGGCCCACTATACAAATAAATCAGAGAGAGTGGGGAGGAAAGAAAAAAGGGGAGAAGAAAAGAAGGTACACTGTTAGATGAGGGAAGACCAAAAAAGGGGTGAAGTTAGGATTTTGGCTCAACCTTGAGCTAAGTGGTTGATGACAGATGACTGACTTATGGTAAGGTGTTGTGGTTGTAATTTGTTTGGTGTAAGGACATCATAAAATATATTTCACTGTATATATATATACATACATACATACATATATACATATATATGTACAGTACATATCTGTATCTTTCCAGGAAACACTGCAGAAATACAGTCACCTCTATGATCTGTCCCGATCTGAAAAAGAGAAGCTTCATGAGCAAGCTGTGGCCATGTGTTTAGACGGGCAGCCTCTCCGGATGATTCAGCAGCTGCTAGAGGTGGCGGTTGGTCCTCTGGATATCTCACCCAAGGATGTAGTACAGAGTGCAGTTAAGAAAATAATTTCTGTGTTGAGGTAAGCTTTAAAGTCACCATTGAGGAAAACCCACGTTGTGGTTCTTATGAGGCTAAACTGTCTGCATGCATGTGGAAATGTTTACCATTTTCAAGTGAGTGAATTAGTGGTATTCTCAAAGCCTGAAGTCTTGAAAAACCTGAGAATAAAGAACCATGACATGTCTCCTCATTGGTTTAGTGTGCAATGTGTTAAAACTCCTTCCCTTCCTCAAATATTCTTGAACCTAGAGAAGGAGCAGAATGACATGTGAAGCCATTGGCTAAGAATCAGCCTGTCTGCTCAGATCTGCCTTTTCTAATTCCCATTTTTGAGATAGTGGGAAGTGATTCTTTTGGAATAGCAAAGCAAGATTCATCATACACTGAAGGAGCTGGGTATCTGCTAAGTGTCTTAGGACATTAAATATCTGCAGTTAATGGCATGATGTTGACAACTGGGAATTTTACTTGGCGTGGGAATGCCAGTGCCTCTTTGTAGGACTGCCTTGAGAGCAGAAGCAAAGAGGACAACGTGAGCTTAAGAAATAATGAGGCATCAGGTGCTTTCTGTGAATAATGCAATTAGACTAAAAGATTTAGTTGTGTTTAATTTATTCTCCTTTTAAGCATTCTTTGTAATTCTGTATTGCTCTTGAGGAACTTTTTGATTAAATGCATGTCAGTTTTCTGCAGCTGAACCGAAATCAAATGAGCCTTTATCTGTTTAATTACCCCAACCCCATACAGCTTTCACCTCAGTGCTCTGAGAGCTCCAGAAATGTCACATGCAGGGAGAGACAGAAAATACAACAGCATTTTTAAAGACGTAACACATTCTTAGTGAATGAAGCTTTGTTCTGTTACTAGCTTATTAGCTTTATGATTGTTGTGGGTTATAGGAACCAAATGTTAAAATATCTACCACATTTTATGCCTTTTTTTACAGTTATACACACACACACACACACACACACACACACACACACACACACACACACACATTTTTTTTTTTTTTGTCATGAGGCCTGAACTCTGGGCCTGGGCGCTGTCCCTCAGCCCTTCAGCTCAAGGCTAGTGCTCTAACTTGAGCCACAGCGCCACTTCCTACAGTTGTATTTTTAAAATTTCCTCTAGCAAACCTCAAATGAAGCTCATAAACAAAACATTTTGCACAATTAATGTTTTGATTAAATAGTTTATTTTCTAAAAACTGCACATTTTTGTTAAGAATTGAAACAAAATATCACATGTAGCAGTTTTACATTTAAATTTTTTTGATAGAATGTTGCTTCTTTCTCCTTTTGGATATTAGTTCTTTTACTAGAGATTTGGTTCGGATCTATGAATGGTTCTGACCCACAAAATATGACATGTAATATTTTTACATTTAAAATTTGATAGAGTTTTTCTTCTTTCCCCCTTCAGATGCTAGTTCTATCACTAGAGATTTGGTTCTGGACTATGACTGGCTCTGACCCACAGAGGACATTAGGGAGTTTGAGGGGTCAGCTATCTGTTTTTCTAAGACAAAGGCACCACTAGTGGCAATGTCTGTAATGTTTACGTTTTAACAATTTAGTCAAATTTAGTAGGCACAAAATGTGAAAGACTTGAAAAATCATTGAATCTAGTGATTTCATTAGATTATTAAGTTATTCTGGAAACTCATATAAAAGTTTTTTTTCATTTCTTGCATTTCAGAATTTGCTAGAGTTCCAGACATATCTGTAGAGTGTGAGTAGTAATAGTAATTTCACCCACTGTGCAAATTATTGAATGCTAGAAGAGTAAAAAGTAAATATAATTAAAAAGCTAATATTACTTAAGTAAGTAGGAAGTTACTATTAGTTGTATTTTAAAAAAAGTAAACGAGGCTATTGTTATATGCTTAAAATCTTAATATTCAACAGATGCGTTCTGATTGATACAGATAGATTGCATTATTCTCTTGGTAGGAAAACATGAGCCACTTAATGGCAGAAACCATTTTATTTCCACATCCTTAGCACCTAGTATGGGTCCTGGTACGTTGATACACACAGCACAATGGTTATGAACAGGGAGTATATACTGGCTTCATCTGAGCCAGCGTGTGAACGTCAAGTGTAATTCTGAGTCTTGGATGACCCTCTTTGACTGGGCTCTTCTCTCCACAGTGGTGGCAGTGCCCACCTTGGTGGGGCGCGGGACCCCCTCCAGGTCCTGGAACGTGTTGTTGCAGCAGTTCATGCCAGTGTGGACCAAGGGTAAGGTTGGCACTAAGTAGCTCTCCTAGAGTCCTAGACCGACTTTTTCTGATCATACTTTTGAGACTTTCTAGACTGTTTGACACGGTAGGGGTGGGCAGAGGGGGAACCAGGGTCTTTGTGCGTAGCTACAGACTGACCCTGTGTCCAAAACCTGGGTCCAGCTCTGTCTGCCCACATCATTACCTCTTTTTGTCTTCTCTATGGGGAGACTAAGGAAACTGCCTTTTGCTTCTTGAAAGAGGTTTTCATCTACACCAGGCTTCCTGGATTAAGTGTGCAACTGAATTATGGGCATTCTTAGAATTGCTTATAATAGATTTTTAAAACATCTTTATATGGTAAGTGTGCCTTTGTTGGAACTCAGAGTATACAGGCTTTACAAGCTAAAAAGTGTCTCTCACTAACGCCATGTTTAGAAAGACTATTTCTTTTTACACATATCACATTATTTAATTCTCAACAATTCTTAATTCTCTCAACAACTCTGTGAGATAAGTACTATTATTTTCATCTTAAAAATGCAAAAATTCCATATAGACGGGTTAAATAACGTAACAAAAGTGCAAGTTAAATGGCAGAGTTGAGATTAAAACTCATGTAGCCTAACCCAAGTTTCTATTGTTAACCAATGCACCCTAATAGCCAAAGGACAGACTTCTTCCAGGAAGATACAAGTCAGGTCATGGGAAAAACATTTAAGTGAAAATGTCAGGCCGGGCGCTGGTAGCTCATGCCTATAATCCTAGCAACTCTGGAGGCTGAGATCTGAGGATTTCAGTTCAAAGCCAGCCTGGGCAGGAGAGTCTGTGAGATTCTCATCTCCAAGAAATCACCAGAAAGCCCACAGTGGCACTGTGGCTCAGATGGTAGAGCACTTGCCTTGAGTTGAAGAGCTGAGGGACAGTGCCCAGGCCCAGAGTTCAAGCCCCACAACTGACAAAAATAAATAAATAAGTAAATAAATACAAATCTATGGTTTTCTTCCCCTGGGGAGAAATAGGGGTAAAGAAGATGAGGCCAACTAGTAATGTTTCACTCGCCGCCGCCGACCCGCCCGCCAGTCTGTGGGTGTGAGGGGATGCCCAGGCGGCAGCTTGCAGGGATGTGCTCCCTCAGAGTGCACAGCAGTCCTCCTGTACCTGAGATCCACCTCAGCCCCGCCTCTCCTCAGTGGCAGTACGAGATAGTACTTAATGACGTGTTTCAGGAAACTTTCTGTGGTTCCACTGAGTAAGAAAATTATTTCAGTGCGTTCCTTACCTTCCAGTTACTATTCAAGTACACATACCTTTGTTCATAGTTTCAATTTAAATTCTTTTTTTTTTTTGGTCGGTTGTGGGGCTTGAACTCTGGGCCTGGGCGCTGTCCCTCAGCTCTTCAGCTCAAGGCGAGCGCTCTACCACTCGAGCTACAGTGCCACTTCCGTCAATTTAAATTCTTAAACGTTTTTATATTCTATTCACTCGGCTCGGTACTATGGCACTTCCTACCTTTCTTTGTAGCTCTAATGCCTGTAATGAATTATGGCTATATAGGGTGTTGCTGTTTTCAGAAGAGGCCATGAAAGCCCAGCGAGTGGAACTGACATGACCAGCGTTGTAGATGTGGGTGTGGAAGCAGGATTCCCCCCTGGCTTTACATCCTAGCAAAGGTTAGCTTCTGGATCTTCCCCTGGGTTTGAAGGCCAGTATATATATAAGCTGTCAGTGAATAGGAGAAAGTATTGCACCCTGCCCCCTACACAGTATTCGAAACCCCTTCAGTTGAGGTGTTTAGATAAGAGAATAGCTATAACAGTGGATAATATAGATCCTTTATTATAAAAAGATAGTTATTCACTATGTGTCCTGCTGTGTGTTGTCATGTGGAGTTATATATGGATAGAAAGTAGACAGTAACCTCATGAGCTCACAGTTCTGCAGGGGCATCAAGCTTGTCTGTAGTCATACCGTCCATACTAGAGCGTGAGAAATGTCGTACAGAAAGTAGGCTGGAGGGGGTCAGGTGGGGGCTCCTGTGCACAGGGACCTGCTTTCTGAAATGAGCCTTAGGGGGAACAGAAGGTAAACAGTGGTGTTCCTGCTGAGATGCTGTCTGGGCCACACCAGGGAAACAAGTAGCAGGGGTCCTGGAGCTTCTGTGACAAGGCCGCTATCCCCATCCCAGCCCCCAGCGAGTGAGCACCTCTTCTCAGTTACCGCTGTGTGCCTCTCCCAGCGCTTGCCCCGCTGGAAACATCTTAAGGTTGGAAGGCAGTGTTTTTCATGATGAAGTTCCAGCGAGATATTTCAACAAAGCTAGCTTGGCCTTTTCAGTAAAGACTGGTTTTTTGTTTTAGATTTGCAAAAGACTTTAGGGAGTGGAAAAACAGAGACAGAATATCAAAGGTGTCTTTTGTAAAGCTTCAGGGAAGTTCTTTCATTTTGCTTAAAAAGAGAGGTAAAAAAAGAAAGATAATCAGAACTTGTGTTCTCAGTAAGTGTATTTTGAACGGACACCGTTCACCGTGTTGCTTGGATTTCCTGTCTCATAATGTGCCTGGTAGAATGACACGGAGGAGTCAGTTTCTGAGTTCTGGGTAGTTTCAAGGAGTGCCTTGACATGAGTTTCAGCCTGTAAAAGCAGTGCTTTGCAGTCACTCATTCCTTGCTGCCCTGCCTGCTCAGCCTGGCACCTCAAGGAGGCATTCGTTGACACCCCAAAGCTCCTGTACTCCCAGCCCCTTGGCCTTTCCTCATCCCCTCAGCAGTGTATGCTGCCTTAGAAGTAACTTCTCGCACAATCCATAGATACATGCACTCAGGCTCGCGTGCTGTTGGGTTATGAATACACTACCCCCAAACCTTCCTGGCAGGGACTCCGCACAGAGGGATAAGAATTTAAGTGCAGACTGACATTTGGTTTTGAAGCTAGTTCTTAGATAGTTTACGTGGTCGTCTGCATGTAGTCTTGACTTATATGTTGGAACAGATGTCATTTGCTGTGTAATAGCAGCTTCTGACTCACCCAGAAAATCCCCATTTCTCTGCTTTTATCTGTGGGAATAAGAAATCACATAAAGAATCACCTCTCACACAAGCCACCAGTGGCACATTTAGCCCCTGCCCAGATGGCTGTCCTCTTTACTTCACCCACATTCCTGCGTCTAAACATCAGCCTACCTATTCCAAGGGTTAGAAGTCAGTACTGTTGGGTAATTAGTTACTTAGAGGGTCATGAAATTTAAGTCTACTGGCTGAGTGTGTGCTTTCCCTGTTACGTGTTCTCATATCATCTTTTTTTAGTTTTGGCGGTTGTGGGGCTAGAACTCTAGGCCTGGGCACTGTCCCTCAGCTCTTCAACTCAAGGCTAGTGCTCTACCACATGAGCCACAGCGCCACTTCTGGCTTATTCTGCTTATGTGGTGCTGAGGAATCGAACCCAGGGCCTCATGCATGCAAGGCAAGCACTCTACCACTGAGCCACCTTCCCAGCCCCTCATACCATCATTTGAGAATATGCATTTCTCGTTTCTCTAACTTTATTAACTTGCTTCCAAAAATAGGTTTTTAGAAATTCAGTAGCCAAAATAAGTTTTGTCAAATAATATGTCTGTTAAACCTGGAGTTAGTAAAATACTGCTGTTATTTGTTTTTAAAAAAGACATTCTTTCTCCTCCCCTCCCTATCACCCATTACTCTATGCCAAGACCAAACCTGCCCTAGGGTGCTGTTCAGTAGCTCACTTTGTCCTCCAGCAACCCCGCTACACAAACTGTATTATTTCCGTTGCACCAGTTAGAAAGTGCAGCTCCGAGTGGTTATGGAACATGTGCTGGCTCATCCAGGAAGAATGTACTATGAATTTCTCTGAGCTGTCATATCTGTCTGGCATTAAGGAACCAGCATTGGAGAGCAAGATGGCACCTCCCACTGCAGGGTGCTTAGGAGTTGCATGGGACGGTACTAACAGTTAGGGTAGGTGATCAAGTACAGCTAAGTGGGGCCCGAAACTCTTCATGTCTGACCAGCTCCCAAGACACCTGCTCCCAAGACACCTGCTTCCAAGACACCTGCTCCCTGAGCCGAACTTTGGGCAGCAAGGTCTCAAGCCCTCATCTGTCTCTGCCTTTCTTGTATTCCTTTTTTCTACTCTTTTATTTTTTATTTTTATTGTGAAAATATGGTACAGAGGGGTTACAATGACACGAGCAAGGTAATGAATACATTTCTTATCCAGCATTTTTACTTCCTCCTTTGTCTCCCCTATACCATGTTGCCATCGTAGACCTTTGAAAATTTCCTAATAGGAATGCCCCACTAGTGTGAAATATAGTATATTAGTGATTTCCAAAAGGATGTATAAAATTTAATTCACCAGATGATAGAAGCTAATTCATGAAGAAGAGCAGAGAAATCTATTTTTTTCAACACTTGTGTAATTGGGAGTTTTATTTACTGATGTAGTATTTAACAATACCAGTTACAGTGTCTTTTTTTTTGTTGGTCGTAGGGCTTGAACTCTGGGCCTGAATGCTGTCCCTGAGCTCGTCAGCTCAAGGCTAGCTAGCACTCTGCCACTTGAGCCACATACCATTTCCGGTTTTCTGAGTGGTTTATTGGAGATAAGAGTCTCATGGTCTTTCCTGCCTGGGCTGGCTTTGAACCTCGATCCTCAGATCTCAGCCTCCTGTGTGGCTAGGATTACAGGTGTGAGCCACTGGCACCCAGCCAAGTTACAGTGTCTTAAGACATGTTTTTATACACACACACACACACACACACACACACACACACACACACTATCATCTGCAGTGTCTTAAGACAGGCAGAGAGAGAGAGAGAGAGCAATATCAGATAATCCAGACTTCTTATAACTCTTTGGTACCTAGAGATTTCACTTTTTTAAAAAAGCAGAAAACACAAAAAAACACACACAGAGCGATAATGTCTAAAAACCCATTGGAGTGAATTGAATCTGACTTCTGCTCTTCCTGCTGCGAGGCAAAGGTAACTACC